GCCCGGAATTGCGGGAGGTAGTATGATGTAAGTGAAATTTTTTTTTTGTTGCACTACTTATGATTGCCAGTGTATTAAGGGCGCGTTATTTTGGGACACAAGCAATAATTTTCATCTATAGAACAAGTATTACATGAACTTAACCGGATCTATGTCAAAATCCCGAAAATTAATTGTCGCGTCGCGTGATGTCGGGGTTCCTGTATTCAAACCCGTTTATGATTAGTAATCATTGTTATTAATCATAAGCTAGGTTTTAATACTGAAACTCCGACATCATGCGACACGACAATTAATTTTCAAGATTTTGATTTCGGGATTTGACATAGAACCGAAAAATCATTCGACTAATTTATCAAATATTCCAGGAATTATAATAATAGCTTGAGTAATCTTAACCGGTTGCTAATGAATGAATCGGTTCGGTTAGCCGATTGAAATATTTTTCTCGGTTCAAATCACTATATAAAAGGAATCTGGAATCACGAAAGCATTATAATAATGAAGAATAATGTGGTTTGTTAATATTTGGTAAACTAGTATGTCTTTTAACATAATAGATCATCCGAATTACTTATATTTGTTTGCACTTTGATCGTTAATTAAGGCATTTAACTTGCCAGCAATATTTTGAAAAAATTTTTATTGAATTAACAATATTCCATAATTTTAAATTTCACCTAAAAAGATAATTATACCTGATAAATCACATATGCGAATGGAGTTGGGCGACCGCTAGACGTTTCCCACATAAGAACACCAACATTATATATATCTGATTTTTTATTAAATCTATAATTATGCCTTTTACATTTGGAACCATATAGGGCAGTGTTGTCAATTTTACCGGCCAAACCAAATTTGTTTGGCCGTTTCAGCCAAAAACTTGGCCAATTTTGGCCAAAAAAAAATATGAATTTGCTATTTTTGGCCATTTTTTTGGTCGATAAAATTTGCCAACACTGATATAGGGAATAACCGTAAAGGTCAGATTTTGAATTTGTCAACTCATCCAACCTCTTTGAAAGTCCAAGTCTATTGACTTCATATTTTTTTGATGGACAAGAATATTGTTGGAATGCTATTAAAAACCATGAAACAAAACATTTAATTTAATAAAAAGTAAAGCATTTTTTAGATGATACTCAGACAGTGCAGTCGAAAACGGCCTGCGTTATGTAGAATTATGTATGTCGACAATCCGTAAAATGACTTATTTTATTATATGCAAATTGGGCTTTTTTGCTAGTCTCCAGATCTAATAAAAAATTATTAACTCAGTAGTAAATCCCCTTAAATAATATAATCAACTGATTAGTCCGTCTCACGAATACCCTAAAAATTAAGAATTACCTCACCCTCCAACTGATTACTTTTTTAATATCGTTCATTAAATTATTACGTAGCTAAATTTTTTTAAACTATGATTATTTGCATGAATCGATCAATTGAATCAATCCGACCAATCAATTAATACCCTTTTAATTCTAGGGTTCTTCAAAAATCCGCCGATATGTTATTACAAAAGCATTAATTCCAATAAAAACACTTAATTGTAACTCCAATTAGAAAAATAATACCGTATAGTCACGAAATAACGTGCAGGGGGGGGGGTGTAATTTCAAATTTTGGCCCAAATTAAGCTTAATTCGGGCCATTATTCTAAATACGACTACACGGTATCCGAAAATTTGGGTTGCACCCTGATGCTGTTACCTTCAATGATCTAAATTATCTTGATGACCTGTCATATGTCATTTAGTCATAACGAAGGATATGGCTTTATAACTTTTTAATATAGTGAGAATCTCAATAAAAATTTTTTTAATAGCACTAATATGACATATGACCAAAAGTTATATTATTATATGGCCAAGGTCATGTCAAAAAAATGGTATGGCTTACCCACACTGATTACCCTTAAATGGTGGTAAACTTTTGGCACGCACTATATACCGATATTAAATTACGACACGCAATTCTTGAGCATGCAAACATTTAACTGCGCTGACGACCTGAAGAGCAAAATTGAACTTAACATTCCAAGAAAGATTATTATGTAAATATGATCTTAAAGTTCCACCATCAGTATATTCAAGAACGAGCATGTAGGGCGTAAGGCTCGAGTTGTCTTATAAAGGTATTAGTTGAGAAAAATATTAGTTGCTTTTAAATTTTCACATACGTACGTACGTTAGAAATAATATAACTGATAAATTAGGCACGAAATTTTACGTTTCTACAAAGAAAATTTATAAATAGTTAGGGTTAGGGTAAGGGTTATAGTTTAATTAGAGTTAGCTTAGAGTTAGGATTAAAGTTTTTTTATATTATAATCATATAATATTCTATATTGCCTAGCTATACTAAAGAAGTTCCAAAAATTTTATTAATTGTATGAAACATTACCATCTCCTTTAGTAATGCCATGTGGGTGAATTACGTTCGAACAAACGTCTATTTTTCGATGTAATTTAAGCTATAAGGTTATATTTTATAATGTAATATGAATGAAAAAAAAAATAAAATAAAATTTATGATACACAAATTACCTCATTAATAACTCTTTAATAATCACAATATCAATTTAAATGATTTTAATGCGACAGGAACTCGAGAACAGCACGATAAACGATTCTATTTCTTCCAAATCCAATGAGTTTAATTTTCTTAAAGCAAGAATTTTCAATAAAATATTTTTGAATTGAATCTTCAGAAAGTTCCATAATTTAAAGAACGAGTTATGAAAGGAATTCCAATTTATGATACGACCTCAAATATACCAAGTGGGTTCTTCATAGCAAATTTATACTTAGAGCATATGTATCAAAAATTTGTGGATAGAATTCATGATATTTCCTAGATTTCCAGAGTTTTCAAGACTCGTTCTAACCGGATCTATACCAAATTCTTGATAGATCTAATATCAGTTTTATCGCAAAAATAGTGAAAATCACTAATTTTTCAATTCATGGTTTCTATAATGATTTTCTATTTAATTACCTTAAAAAAGTAATATCGCAGCTCCATCCACTTCACCGACGGTCAATTCAATGGGTTCTACCACAAAATCCCGAAACCATTGAAACATAATACTGATTAAATTGGCCGACATTATAATTAATGCCGGCTAACTTTGTCGGTACTAGGAATCTGTTTTTCGGGATTTTGTGGTAAACCAATTCACTGACATGTTTATTTTATCGACAAGCTCATTTCGTAGACAGTTTTTCACCGACAGCTCATTTCACAGAAAAGTTTTTCTTATAAACTACACTAACCTTACTCTAGTTTAAACTAACCTAATTACAATGACTAGAGTTATTTTGTCTGTGAAATGAGCTGTCTGAAAAAAACTGTAGCTGACAAAATTTATTTATAAATTTACATATAGTTCTGTTGAAATATATTTTTTTTAGAAAGATTTTATATATAAAAGTATTAATATTTATAGGCGAATAATATTTCCACACCTATGTAAATCACTTTTTTAAAAATCTTTAATCGAAGGTATCTCGATGACCACCTGATCAAATTAGACGAATTTTTTTATTGGAATTCTACAAGTATGCAGAATTCAAATAAAAAAAAATTCATCGAATTGGTCGGGTGATTATTGAGATACCATCAATCAAAGTTAGAGAAAATTTTGCCGCGGCTATTATTCTGATAAACGTTTAGATTTTTTGCAAAAACTTTGATCGAAGGTATCTCGACGACCAGCTGACTAAATTCGATGATTTTTTTTTATTTGAATTTTGCATAATTGTAGAATTCTAATAAAAAAAAATTTCATCGAATTTGATCCGGTAGTTGTCAAGATACTTTCGATCAAAGTTTTTAAAAAATCTAAACGTCTATCAAAATAATAGCCGCGGCAAAATTTTGATTGAAGGTATCTCAATAACGACCTGACCAATTCAATGAATTTTTTTTTTATTTGAATTCTGCATAATTGTAGAATTTTAATAAAAAAAATTTCATCGAATTTGATCCGGTGGTTGTCGAGATACCTTCGATCAAAGTTTTTGTAAAAAATCTAAACGTTTAACTTTGATTAATGGTATCTCAACAAACACCTGACCAATTCGATGATTTTTTTTTTATTTGAATTCTGCATACTTGTAGAATTCCAATAAAAAAATTCGTCGAATTTGATCAGGTGGTCATCGAGATACCTTCGATTAAAGATTTTTAAAAAAGTGATTTACATAGGTGTGGAAATATCAAAAAAGGGGTGTGGAAATATCATTCGCCATTTTAATATTAATGAATAAAATTTTAAACTTGTTGAGTAAACCGATTTTACATCCTTTTTTTTTTTTTAATTAGGTGCGAAGACTGTTATTTTGATGTCTCATTTAGGACGTCCAAATGGAAAGCCAAATCCGAAGTATTCACTTAAACCAGTTGCTGCCGAGCTTTCTAAGCTGTTGGGTAGTGGCAGAGAAGTCTCGTTCTTGAGTGATTGTGTTGGTCCCCCTATCAGTGAAGCATGTCATAAGGCCGAAAATGGTAATTTATTTATTTGTATGTCATCCGAACTTTGAGAGTTCTAAATTCATTATTCGTTAATACGTTTTCTTTTATAGGACAAGTGATTTTGCTTGAAAATCTTCGATTCCATATAGAAGAAGAAGGTTCTATTAAAGATGATGAAGGAAAGAAAGTACGTTCATTAATTTATTATAAATTTAAACACTTCATTGTTTTTCTTCACTCATTTGTCAATATTTTTATTATACATCAAACAGATCAAAGCATCTTCTGAGGATATAGAAAAGTTCCAAGCATCTCTAACAGAACTTGGAGATGTATATATTAATGATGCATTTGGTACAGCACATCGTGCTCATAGTTCAATGGTTGGTGTGAAATTACCAACTAAGGCTGCAGGAATTTTGTTAACGAAAGAATTGGATTTCTTTGGAAAAGCATTAGAAGATCCAGATCGCCCATTTTTAGCAATTCTTGGCGGGTGTGTTAAATAATATGATTTTTCCTCCTTTAATAATTTATTAAAGATTTAATTGATCGTTGGAATAATTTTTTCTTGGCAATTGTAGTGCTAAAATTTCGGATAAAATTCAATTAATCAATAATCTTCTTGAAAAGGTTAATGCTATGATTATCGGCGGTAAGTTATATTTTATTTTTTTATTACAACACTAGTATATACTTTTTAATTGTTTTGTTAACGTTTCTATTATTTCTCAGGTGGTATGGTTTTCACCTTCAAAAAGGTTATCGAAAAGATTGAGGTATCTATTAAATAGCTACATTTCACTATTTTCAATTTTAGGCCATACATAATTTTTGGTTCTTATAACGTGAAATGACTTGGCAACCCGATTTTTAATTTTGTTTTTCAAAAATTATATATAAAAATATAATTTTTTTATAAACTTCTAATATGAGAACCAATTTATTAAGTTTGCATGACCTTATATTTTATTTATTGAAAAAAATTTAATAGCTTTTTCTTTTTCACTCGGAATAATTACTGTTTTATAGATTGGCAACTCGCTCTACGACGAAGAAGGTGCTAAAATCGTGGAACAATTAGTTGAAAAGGCAAAATCTCTGAATGTCAAATTGATATTTCCTGTGGATTATATTATTGCTGATAAATTTGATGCGAACGCCAATGTATATATATCATATCATACTTAATTATTTAATAATAAGTACATATATTTATTGAAACTAATTTTAATCGATTTTCAAGACTGATTGTGCTACAGATGAGACTGGTATTCGACAAGGATGGCTAGGTCTAGATTCTGGTGAAAAAACTAATGAAATTTTTAAGAACGCCATTTACGAAGCAAAGACCATTCTATGGAATGGGTACGTTAATAGACATATATTTGATATTAAATAATTTTATAATATAGACTTTAAAAATTTTTTTTTATAATTATAATCTATGTATTTACCACCATATTTTTATCTATTCTCTAACGATTTAAACAGTCCTCCAGGAGTTTTTGAATTTGAAAAATTCTCAAAAGGAACAAAAGTAGTATTAGATGCAGTTATTGAGGCTACAAAAAGAGGTGCCAAGACTATTGTTGGTGGAGGTGACACTGCAACGGCCGTTGCTAAGTGGGGCGCTGAAGATAAAGTTTCACATGTTAGTACTGGTGGTGGTGCTAGTTTGGAGTTGCTTGAAGGTAATTATTCATTTCGAATAAGTTTTATGTGAGTTGAATGAGAACAAACAATTAATTTATTAATTTAACCGAAATTGTAGGTAAAGTGTTACCTGGTGTTAATGCTCTTACTGATAAACCTAAGTCTGAGGTATAATTTCTAAAATAAATGTATGGATGTAATGCCTACACATTTTTATTTATTAAAATTTGAGTAATTATTTCAAACTTTTTCATGAACTTATTATGTAATGAACTTATTACTGTATATGATGAAGAATACATAGTAATTGTAATAAATATGAGACTTATTGAATTATGGCTCTTAATGCTCTTAAGGATTGGAACTGAATAAAATTGTTTACTAATGTATTCAAGTGCCAGCCAATTTACACGACAATAATAATTGATTTAATCGTACGATCATGTCGTTAGTGCCGTACTAGTTTTTTGATCATATTTTTTCTTTTAATTCGTGTTCTAAAACTAATAATAAATAATGTTAAGAATTTCTACATTTAAAAAATTAAACAAATATAGTACTAAAAGAAAAAAACCCCCCAAATTTTATTTATAACATCTTATTACTTATTTAATATGATCAAATACCTGTGAAGTAATAACCATTGATGATGAAGTAATATTATGAGGATAAAAAAATCGATACTATAGTGGTTAGGAATTGAATAAGATAATGATATCACACTCAAAAAATCCGACAATTATTTTTACCAAGTACAGTCTGACCTCCCTAAATATAACACTTATAAATATTTATCTCTCTAAATGCATTATCTTTATAAATGCATGTTTTAACTAATTTTTTACATATAGCCCGTGTAATTTGAGCCAGTTGCAATTTTATTTGCTGAGTATTCTTGCTTGCTAACCCTACTATTTTCAATTCTTCTAAGTGGTTTTCTAGTACTACTATGTGATCTAAATTGCTATTGTCTTTGCTTTCTTGTCTATTACTTACAAATTGATCTCTTTCACTTGATATTATATTTACTATATATTCCTTGTTGCTTTGAATATATTATTATTATTATTGCTTCTATTTCTTAGTTCAGGTATGTTTTGATTCTCCTTGTTGCTAATTCAAAGCACTCATTTATGCTCTATTTTAATTTTTTATAAAAATAATATAGTATTGATATCTTAGCTATCAAGAGGTCTTCTAGCAATGCGAAATAGACTGTAGCATTTCTTTTTGGATTGTTGTTACTATTCTTTAGTATAAAAACTATTTTGGCTTTGAATCTTCTAAGTTGTCTAAGAAGTACTGACTCAAGGGCTAGATTTGAAATATTTTTTAACACTATTTTGAATTCTTTTCTAATTTTTAATTTTTTTGCATCAAATCTTGTAATCTTTATACACAACTCTGAATTTTTTCAAATTACACTATTCTAATACTTCTATTTTACTATATTAATTTAAGCATCTTTTAATTCTTGATGTATTTGCTATATAAGGTAGATCAGAACCCTGAAATATACATATATAGATAAGGTGACTTTTAAATTTTTTACTAATAGTTGTATGCAAGGCTTTTTTTATAAAATCAATATGCAAAATTTAAACTTTACTATAAAAAATTAAAAAAATATACAAAATAATACCCTAGTATGAAATTTTATAAGCTACAGCAATATATAAAATTAATATCTAAATCAATATATAGATTAGTTACAAATTAAATTTTAATGTAAACTAACTCAGAACTTAACTATATATTATATTTACTAGAATAGTAAATAAGTTCTGTAACAAAATTCTATTTATACTTAATTTTATATTAACAAAAACACTTATAAATGAATACTTAACTAAAAAAATAAAAAAAATAAACTATTAAAATAGAATTGTTAAATTCAATTTAATAGTAAAAACCTAATTTAAAATTGCTTTATTTTTTATAGTGAAAGCTGTTTAGTTATTATAAATATCTAAATAAGTCAAAATTTTATTTATATAAAAAGCTTTTAGAT